CACTCTGCCTCTTCCCACCTGTTCCAGCGAAGCTGTGTGGCGCGGGCTTTGGCTCCCCGGTGGCTGCAGGGTCCAATCATCTCCTAGGCTTTTGGAAATGTCTGTGTCCCATTCCACAGAGACCTGGACTGGCACTGGACTCCACACACAGGAGGCATAGGCAGCCAGGGCCCGGCATGCTTCTCGGGGGTCAGCCATGGGGGCTGCCACAGGCCACAGCGCTACTCTAAGGGGACACAACTGAGCACAAGTCAGAAGCCCGGCTGTGCGGGTGTCACCCTGGGGTGCTCCAAAACAAGGGCCAGGCCCAGGCTGCTTACACTGCGTGCCCCCAGAGACTGGGGCCTCGCTCCTTTCTCACAGTCCTGAAGAGGTGTGGAGGCCCAGGTGTTCCTGACCGGCTCAGCAGGAGCTGACCTTGGCTGACGGACGGTGGCCATGGCAGCAGGGAGGCCTCTGGGAGACCAGTCCCAGGAGGGCTTGTGAGGGCGGCGGCAGCCCGCTCGGGCTGGGAGCTTTGCCCTGCTGGTCCCAGCGGGTGTGGCCGGCCCTCTTTCCACGGAGAGCTGGTGCAGGCTGCGCTGCCGGGGAGACCGAGACACACGGAGGCGTGACAGCGGGAGAGCAGCGCGGTGGCCACAGACGTGACTGGAGGTGAGAGCTCAGACCCAGACGTGTGGTCAAGGGGGCGCTCGGGAGGGGCACAGCCAAGGCAGGGAAAGCTGCGGGCCCCCGCTGGACCTGAGGAGGGCAGAGACTGCCCCCTGCTGCTGTCCCTTGGGCCACTGACTACCTGGACAGGGCACCTGCTGGCCAGCACAGAAGGCACAGCGGGAGGGCAGAGCCCCGGGGGCTCTGGCTGACAAGGGCCCTCAGGACAGGCACTCTCCCAGCGCTCCTCTGCGAGGAACCAGAGCCCAGCGGTCAGTGAGAGCACTGGGAATGCGGGGCCCTGGCGTGGTGGGCACTCGCCCCCGGGCTGTTACAGCTGGGGCGTCCTCCGCCCACAAATGCTGCAGACTAAGACAGCACAGTACCACTGCGGCCAGCAGAACGGCACCCCTGGAGCGTCCATTCCCTCCCCGACCTGAGCACCCACTCTGGGGTCACGGGAGTCAGGGACGGGGGCAGAATCACTGCAGTTACAGGGCTCAGCAGCAGCCTCACACCCACATTCCACACCCCAAGTGCTGGGGGAGGGTGACCCCATGGCAGCATGCCCTGGCCAGGAGGCAGGCAGGGACACGGACAAAGACAAGCACGAAGAAGGAGGGGGCCCGTGCGGACCGGGGCGGGGGCTGGCGCAGACTGCGCGGCTCTGAACCGCGCGGTCTGGATCTGGGGCAGAGTGGGCCAGGGTTGGCAGGGACCCGCGGCTGCGAGACAGAGACGCGAAGGCGGCCTCTCATCCCGTGTCCTGCTCGCTCCTTGCTGCGGGCGGGTTCTGTGATACTTTCCCAGTTCCAGCACTTGAGTATTTTTAATCTTCTTTTTTAAGCAACACCATCACAAAGCTGCCCACCTTTCCTCTGGGAACATCCGCGCCACCTCGCCTCAACGGGAAGCGTTTTCCCTGAGCCTGCCCCTGGTGGGTCTGTAACCTTTGCTAAGAGGCCACTGAGGACGTGGCCCACCAAACCAACCCAGGAAAACAGACATGGGGAGCCAGGGCGCCCGGCCAGGTGCGAGGAGAACGTGCCCCAAGAGTAGCCCACAGCAGGGCAGGGAGTGAGCTGTCCAGTTTGGAGGGGGCAGGGCGGACTCTCTAGGAAAACTGGTGGGGACACCAGCAGGCAGGCACGACTGCATGCAGGAGCATTTCACAGGGGTGCGGGCCACGCCAGGACTCACAGGGCGCTCAAGGCAGGGGAAGGCAGGCACACTAAGCACCCCCCCACAGCCACAGCACCCAGAGAGGGAGCCGCAGTGCTCCACGCAGCGTGGCACCAGGCGCCAGACACTCCGCACCAGAGACAGCAGGAGCCTCACAGGACACTGAGCCACGGGCCACAGCAGCTGCCACAGTGGCAGAAGTGAGTGCAGGAGAGAGGGAGGGAGGACCAGAGCTCAGCTCTGTCTGTCAATAGTTATTCTGAGCCAGCCGTGGCACGTACATGCCTGTCAGGCTCAGCTGCTCAAGAGGCTGAGGCAGAAGGATCACAAGCCCAGGCCCACCTGGGATACTCAGCAAGACTGTCTCAAAACAAAAAACAAGAGGACTCCCTGGGTTCAATCCCCAGTACCACCACCACCACCACCACCACACACACACACGCACACGCACACGCACACGCACACACACAGAGCCATTTCAAATGATGTGTTGGTCACTTTCTTGTGGTTGTGACAAAATACCCAACACCTGCGAACTCTGATTTTGCCTCACGGTTTCAGAGGGCTCGGTGCACGGCTGGCCGGCTCCAAGGCGAAACAGCGCGGTGCAGGAAAGCTGCTCCTCACAGCAGCCGGGGAGCAGACAGAAGAGGAGCCGGGGACAAGACCACTCCTCCGGGTCACACCCCAGAGCCCCGCGTCCACCCAGGCCTCAGTTCCTCACCGCACATTCAGCTGTGAACCCCCCCGGGGATGAACCCACTGAGTACTGTGCTCCTGTGGGCCACCCACTTGGGACATGGGGACAGCAGAAGCCAGGCGCATGCTCCGCAGGGATGCCCTTCGCGCAGCACCTGATGCGGCCGGCCTCCTTCCTGAGCCGGAAGAGGTCTGTCCTCAGCTTCCCAGCTCGGTCGTATCTCTCCTCTCCCTCTCTCAGTAAGGGGAGGGGACGTCCACGACACAGAGCAGGATGGCTGGGCCGGCACCTGGCTGGCTGCTGGCATCTGCCTGTGCTTCCTGACCAGAGCGGTCCCTCGCTCTCTGACGCATCTCCCATGAGCCTGTCCCCACCACCACCACGGCCAGCCCGTGTGTGAAAGTCTCGGCCGCTGGGCCTCGGGAGCCTCTCCAAACCTCGCAGCACAGGGGCAAGAGGCAAGGGCTCCATTAGGGTCCATTTCAGGACTCTGCGATTGGCATCTACCGAATTACAGCTCGGTCAGACTTTCACTCCAACAATTTTAGATGTCATTTTCTGTCAACTGTACGCTACGGGAAAATACAATGAAACTATGGCTCCTGCATGTTCTCAATACACTTTTTATTTGACTCACTGACTCCTGCTGGGTTACCCGGCACAGAGAGATGATTACATTTGGTAAAATTAGTAGGCGTATTTTTATAAATCATGCACACAGGGACACCTACGACAGCAGGCAGCAAGTGTCATAAAGACACTGCAAACTTCCAACACATATTTTAAAAAGCGCCTGAGGGCAGGCAGGGTGGTTGACGCCTGTAACCCAGCTACCCTGGAGGCTGAGGCAGGAGGACTGAAAGTTGGAGCCAGTCTGAGGCAACTTAGTGATACACTGTCTCAAAAGACCTTTAAGCGCCTGTATCAAAGGAAGCAGCTTGGACTGCACAATGTGTCTTCCAAGGGTCCTGCATGGCTGGCCTCTCAGTGGCACCTTCCAGCCCAGGAAGAAAGAGGCCCAGGCTTAAAATGTGTACTTTTCCCTGAGGAGGCTGCATGAGAGACGCCACCCTTAGCGGAAAACTTCCAACACGGAAACAAGCGGACACTGACACAGCGCTTCCCGAATTTCCGGCAGAATGGGTGATACAGCAGCTCAGGTGTAATTCCTCCTGTAACGGAAGCCCCGCTGGGCTCGGAAGGAGGGCTGCTGCCCTCCGGGAACGGAGGGGCGAAGCAGACAGGGACAGCAGCTCTCAGGGCAGACGGTCATCAGCCTGAAAGCACCTTGTCAGAGCTCCCCACCCCAGGACCAAAGTTGATCAGATTTAAGGGCACTACAGCCAGCATGTCATGGAAAGATGAAAACAATTGTGAAAATTGAAAAAAAAAGGACTTTTTTTAAAAAAAAGAAACAAGCTTTAACAATACCTCTGAAATTGGGGTGAACTAAGGGCCTGTAGTCCTTCAGCCCCAAAGCACTCTGCACCACTCTTTCATGAACATTTGCCAAGTCCCTCTTTGACTCAGTGTGAGGCACTTGAGCCACAAAGATAAAGTCAGTCCCTGCCCCTAAGGAACCCTTGGCAGAAACATCCATGTAAACCTACATAAAGTGATGCAGTTCGAGCTGGGTTTTGAAGGATGAATAGGAGCTCTCCCAGCAGAGAGGAAAGCAACTTGGTGTTCCAGGCATCACGAAATGGCAGCACAAATGAATGCACTGTGCAAAAATGCATGCTGTGCCAGGAGACAGGTGAGCAGCAGCTTGGGGCACACAGGACAGCTGTGTCAAACTCTGGGACCCAACACCACCTTCACAGTTGCTCTTGTTCCCCCGTGTTATGTACTTCTTCCTGGTTTTCTTCTTTAAATCTTTTTAAAGTTTATATTATCCTCAACCAAAATGAGGATATCCAGGAAGTCATGGGGTTATCACAGGCCACTGACACAAACCCACACTATTAAGGTAACAACTGTCCCTCGCGGAGCCCAAAGCAGGTCTCCTTGCAACCCAGCCCCATTTCCCAGACAGCAGGAGCCCTGGGCCAGGAAGCTCCGGGTCTGGTTTGAGGGGGATCTGCGCTGACACAAAAAAAAGCAAACGCACCAACATGCACTAATAAAAGAGGGCACAAAATAAAAATAAACACAATAAGGAAATGCAGGCAAGAACAGGGCTAAGCAGCCACTCTGACCCAGTGCCCAGCAGGCCCTGCCCATCCCGAGGGCCACGCTGACACTCCGACACCCTGAGGATCCAGGCTACGGGTGGCCCTGCCTGGACACAGGCCTCGGCCCACTGTTACTCCAGTTTTAAAAACAGGCGCTGACACAGTTCAGTGATTTCTGCGTAACCTTCGATGTTAAATTCACACTTCACTAAGCACAAGAGCCGAAATTAGGCCAGGCGGCTGCCCAGCTTCCGGGGGGCCTCGTGGGCGCGGCCAGCACGCTCTGTCCTTACCTCCGTGCACAAAGCCATGCAGGGTGCAGTCCGAGGGCCCCACCAGGTGGATCAGGCTCGACTGGCTGTAGCTCACGGTGTTGGGCTCTGGAACGGCAAAGGAGAGCGGTGAGGGTGGGGCAGACGCGTCCTGCTGCCCAGCGCGGCCAGCACCAACAGCTGCGTGTCCCTGAAGGTAGCCGTGACACTGAAGGCGGCCAACTGCCACCAACCGACACAGAGCAGAGACCTCAGACAGGCTGCACTGGCAGAGAGGACGCCCTCCAAGGCTGAGAAAGTGCTGTGGCTGGTCATCTCAGCGCACCCTGGGGACAGCAGCGCCACAAGGTCCTTCCTGACCACAGGCAGAAGCACGGAACAGCTCCTGACGACAGGGTCCAGGTGGTGGGTGAGTCATGCACCGAACCCTCATTCCTACTGTCATCAAAAGCACCAACCGGGCGCCAGGCTCGCCCCTCTGCGGGCTCAGCCCTCTCCTCTCCTGCATGCCCGGCTGCTGCAAGCTATCCCACAGCAGCAAGTCCCTGGGCAGAGGCCGGCCAAGCAATGCTGCTATTGAAACATCGATAAGCAGCTGTACTTGAAAGAAACAGCTGCAACCAAGTCCTGATTCCAAGGGTTGGCGTCACCCTCCATACCCGCCTTGCCCAGCCGGTTTAGGTGGATCCACGTGGCCCCCTGTGCCCAGGTCCCCAGCCCAAGCCTTCCGGTCAGGCACAGCCTCCTCTACCTCCTGCTTAGACAGCTGGGGCTCGGTGAGGGGTGCCCGGTCCCGTCCACTCCCTGGCAGGGCCCCAGCCGGCCACAGGACAAGCTTGTTCAGACGCAGAGCCGTGGCTTTCACACAGGTCTCAGCAGCACGGGGGCTGGTGGGATGGAGGGTGGGCCCGAGGCAGGTCACCCCTGGGGTCTCCTAAGAGTCAGCGCCACTTCAGAGACGCCCATGCTCCTCCATGCTAGGGCTGAATCATGTCCCCTCACAACTCCTGGGGCCAGCTCTTAGCACCTCAGTGTGGTGTATACACACGTGGGTCTTCAGGTTTGATTCTAGAGTCTGAGGACCTAGGGTTCAAACACGGAGTGATAAGCTACACCCCCAGCCCTGCTTGAATGTTTTCTTGAGACAGGATCTCCCTAAGTAGCCCAGGCTGGACTCAAACTTGTGAACTTTCTGCCTCTGTCTCCTGAGTAGCTACGATTATAGGCGTGTGCCGCTGCGTCCGCTGAGACAGGGCCTTTAATGAGGTAGCGAGTGAATTTAAAACGAGGTCCTCAGCTGGGGCCTAATGCAACATGGCTGCAGTCTTGCTAAGAAGACACCATGACACAGAAGGGAGACGAGCAGACAGGGAGACGAGCAGACAGGGAGAGGAGGACGCCCACGGCCCAGGGAGGCCGGCGGAAGCGAGGCAGCGAGTTCCCGAGCTCAGGCCCAGCATGAGGGCCCAGGACGCGCCGAGACCCGAGCACAGCCCACGCACAGCTCCCAAGGGCGCAGCTGCCAGAAGCAGTCGTGAAGCAGGAAAAGCAGAATGTGGACGAGCCGGGCCTTCAGCATCTACCGCACGCCCAGCACATCGCTCTGGAAGCTCCATCTGGGGCGACGAGGCTCTGGCTCTGAACTCAAGGACGGGGAGCGGAGGTGGGGGAGCCTCCGGGACAGGAAGGGACGCTCAGGCACTGCTCAGGCGTGTCCAGAACCAGGCCCTGGCCCTGGCCCTGGAAGGGATCTCAGCCTCCCACCATTCAGCCTCCAAGATCCCCACCCACCGTCCTCCTGCTACCGTGTATGGCTGTCAGCCGCTCCACAGTCCTTTCTCCCTGCCTGGACCACTCCAGGGACAGCTCCTGGGCTAGGCTACATCCGGCCGTGAGCCCAGGTGACATACGGCTTCGTCCCAGGGAAGAAATGCTGCCGCTGATGCCACTCCAGAGGCCTCCCGGGCTGTCCTGGGCCTCAGGGTAATTCCACCCCTTGGCAGACTTGGGAAGAGCAGCGAGCGTGGGCCCGAGGCAGGTCACCCCTGGGGTCTCCTCAGTAGTAGGCCAGGACCCTGCCTCTCTGGGCTCCTTCAGCCTCCCTGGCTCCCACTGCAATTTCCTTGGTAGTAGAACGATCGCTCGAACCCCCACTGCTAAGGGAGAAGCGGCTGGCCAGGGCCGCACCTGCTGCCAGCCCGGGGGATAGGGTAGAGGACGGCGCTCAGGGGCCACCGATGCTCTGAGCAAGTCCCAACCCCAGAGTCACCCTGGCCACCAACACTGACTTCCTAGCACCGCCTCCCTTTGGCTCGAACCTGAGAAGTAGCTGGCCCAGACACCAAGGCCTCCAGTGCAGCCCTGGCTTGCTTGGTGTTCCCCTGTGAGGGCGGGAAAGGACTGTTCTAGAACAGGACTGGAAGTCTAATGCTCCACTTCAGCTCAGCCTCAGGACCTGCTTTACTAGCTAAGAGCCCTGCAGGTGGACGATGATAAAAGAATTTTTTTTTAAATTTCAAACTTAGGGTGCAGCTCGGTGGCAGAGTATGTACCCAGCATCCGTGACACCCCTCAGGTTGATCCCTAGCACTCTCCCTGCCCAACCAAACTTAACTGAAAATTGCACACAAAAATCTACAGCTCCCTGGTTAAAGAGATGCCCACACTGTCCTATGCTATCTAAAAATAGTGTGGAAGCCACGAATAGTTTAATGCACTTAGAACTTGTGGCAAAATTCTCACAGTCCTTCCCTAGGCCATAACTAAGTCCCAGAGGGCTGGGCAGATCGGGCTGTATTTATTTTCACTTGGCTCACAGCCCCCGCCGCTGGAGGAAACCCACTCTGCTAGGAAACGCTGACTGGACTGTGGGACAGGAGTTACTTATTCTGTGTCCCACACACAGCATCCGTCTCAACAGATCTGCGATCTCGGCGGCCCCTCCTCCCCAGTCCCGTCAAGGAAACTGAGCACAGGGAGGTTCAGGGATCAGAGGCAGCAGAGCTGGGATTCAAACAAAGCCGTCCAACTCCAGGGCCTTCCTTCTTCATCTTCCCTGAACCACGCCTGTCCCCAGGGTCACGGCTGCACAGGTGGCCAGAGGCACTGGGGAGGCCCCTCAGACCCAGGGCCAAGCCCCGGGGGAAATGCCCTACTGAGGACTCCCTGGGGGCGGGCTCAGCGGCGGGCGTCACCGCAGTCCCAGGCGGGATGAAGCAGCCTGTGAACGTGACAGCCCAGGCTTGCGTGGTCACAGCCCCGCCCCACTGAAGCTGGGCAGCCCCTGGCCTTGAATCCCAGTGCTCTGGAAACTGTCCTCTCATCAGATGGAGTCAGTAAGGGAAACCGGCTCTGAATGAGCTCGCAGACCCTCCCCAAGTCACTTGCAAGCCAAGGTGGCTCCAGGATATTGCTAGGCAACCAAGGGGGGCTGGTTCAGGCTTCAGTTGCAGGTGGGGTTGGGCTGCGGTGGTATCCCACAGAAGGGGGCTGAGCAGGCACACACCCTTCTCGAGTGGCGGCCACGCCATGAAGCCCCGTCGGTCCCACGTGGGCACACCCGGAGGGAGGGCACCCTGGAGCCAAGGCGGAGGGGCCCAGCCAGGTGCCACCAGGAAAGTGGAGTCAGAAAGGTGCATGTTCTCCAAGACTGCGAACGGACGTGCAGCTCCACAGGAAATGCCTAAGACCCCGCCTCTCTCTCCCGTCAGCCCAGGAGGACACAGGAAAGCCACACACACGAATAAGGCACCAGAAGATCTGCTCGGAATCCTTGAGATTTAGAATGTCAGCCTTCACTAGCATGGCTGAAGAAAAATGGATTCTGAGAAGCACGTATCAGATTTAAAATCAAACAGAGGACAGCAAGTGGAAGAGCATCTCCTGAAGAAAGGAATTTAAGCAAATTCAAATTGCTGAGTAATATTCATTTCTGACGGCCAGTATGGAGCCAGTCTGCAGGTCTTCCCACCCCGGTCTCCTGCTGCTCAGAGCCACAGCCAGGCCAGCAAGCACGATGCAGGGCACGGGGTAACCATCAAGAGCCCCGCAGCTGCAGGTCCGTGATCCCATCACACCTGCAGGGGCCCCCTACGTGAGGTCCGTTCGCAGGGCCAGGGACTGGGACACCATCTGCCCTGCCAGCCTCCTTCCAGGGACACTGGGCACTCAGCCAGCAGCCCCTTCTCACATCACACTCGCCCTCACGCCCCATCTCCCTGCTGGCCTGCACCCCCAACCCAGGCCCAGGCTGGGGGGTGTGGAGGCCCAGGCAGCGCCCAGGGTGTGGTGCACGGCACGCGGGCTGCTGACAGCAATGCGCAGGGAAAGCCTCAAGGAAAGCGTGGAGGCAGCGTCAAGACAGCTGCTGAGGCACAGCCAGAATCGGGCAAAAGCCCCATCAGATCCTCGGAACACCCCTACATCCCGGGACACAGGGCTCCGGGGGACATGGCCACATGGAACCCAGCACAGAACACGCAGGCATCACGAGGGGGCCGGGCCATCCCAGGGGGAGAGAGAAGCCCAAGGAGTGTCCCACGTGATCGGTGTGTGTGCAGGGGAAGGGGGGGGTACCTGTTACCAGGAAGACAGCAGCGGTGGCGGGGGGCGGGTGTCAGATCGTCCCAAAGCCTCAGGACGCTCCTGGTGGGACACACGCCCCCCAGAGGCCTGCCCTGTATCTGCAGGAAAACATCCCGGACCTACTCATTTGGGATTTGCTTGGCCCTTTCAGGAGAGCCCAGTAGGAAGATGCAATGAAGAAAGATCCAAACCTACATGGAGCCCGCACGGCTGACAACTGTCCCCACACAGCTGACTTCGGTGATCACACTCAGGTGAGGGCTCCGTGTGACAGAGCCGGGGAAGAATCAGCACTGAGAAAGCTACTGCCCACTAGCCACAATGGCACAGGCCTGTAATCCCAGCTACTTTGGAGGCTGAGACAGGAGGATCCCAAGTTTAAGGCCTCCTGGGCAGTTTAGCAAGACCCCATGTCAAAATCAAATAAAAAGGGCTGGGGATGTGGCTCAGGGATAGAGCGCTTGCCTAGCATGATAAGGCCCTGGTTTTCCCCAGGACTAAAAAAAAGCCTCCTCCCTTTTGTGCTAGGCAAGGGTCCCCCTCCTAGACCAGGGAGGCCCTCACACAGTGGTGCCCCTCGGGACTTGGAGAGGTGCTATGCTGCCTTCTGGCTATCACCCGGGGTGCTCAGAGGGGACAGCCTGACTGGGGCAGGGGTGAGGGAACCTCAGGACAAGGAGCCTGGCTCCAGGGGGCAGCACACAGCACCGGGAACCAGGACGGCGTGCACCATGGGTGACCATCAACCCTCCGCAGCTGCACACTCACCTGGGTTCAGGACGGGCTGCACGATGTCCCCGTTTCTCCACTTGGTCTCCATGCGCTCCAGTTTCTGGGCTTCATACCGCTTCCGGCCCTCCTCCTCCTGCTCCTGCCGGGTGTACTGTGGGAAACCAGACGCAGGGTCAGGCCCGTGACGGGCAAGGCGCGGCTCCCACAATCAGGGGCCCTGTGTCACCAGCTTGTGACTGGGCCTGTGCTTTTGTACTGGTGACACTGAATAAGTAACCAGAACACAGAGCAGACACAAATCTCAGGCCGGCCTCCTCCCAAGGTAAGCCGAGCCGGGTGTGTGGTTAGGACCTGCTGCAGTGCAGATCTAAAATGTCCCCCCGAGGTCTCGCGTGTGGGAGATGACTGGATCGTGGGGCACGACGCTCACCAGCAGATGCATCGGATGTGCTTGGAGCTGAATGCGCTCTTCGTAGGCGGGGCCGGGATGGAGGAGGTCACTGGCGTGTGACCTGGAAGTTGTATTCTTGTCTCCTGGTGTCCCCTACCCCTTCCTGGCTGTCTTGGGTGGAGAGGCTTTCCCTCCCCCGGGCCCCTCTGCCCTCCTGTTTCTGCCTTGGGAGCCCTCCGGCCGCGGAGGAAACCAGGAGCTAAAATACGCAGTCGCGCTCCCTCCGGCCGTGGGCGCGAGATTTCACCCCCGCCACCCTTGGTGCACTCCCCCATCGCCCTGCTTCACTAGTCACGATTTCACTGCATGGATGTGACATCGCCTCCGTAACTGACCCATCGTTTCTGGCCTGAATTCAGCTTGTCCCCATTTTCACCAAGAAAACAACACCACACTGCTGACCCTCGTCTACCTCCCTTCGCACCTGGGCCAGTCCTGAAAAGAAAACTGCAGAGCTCAGGCAGCCCCTGTGGGCCCCGCCTGCCAGGCCTGCTGCTGCTCTGCAGGGGGCCGGGCGCAAACCACCCCGCGGCTCTTCCGATGGGGCACAGGGGCTTTGACCCAGGAAGTTAAAAATAAACGTGAAGGTAAAATTGGTCGCGCAAACCAAGCCTCCTCAGCCCTGCACACAACGGGGGATGCCGGGTTTCTCTGATGGAAGAACGGTGGTTTGCTCACCACCTCTTGTGTCCACTGACCCCTGGCCCATGTGGAGGACTCACACCTGCCTCCACCTGGGACCCTCTGCGCGCTGCGGTGCTGTGCGCTGCCCCAGCTGGGTCTTGGGTCCTTGGTCCCCCTCCCCCAGGGGCCCCCTCTCTCTGCACCACCAGAGCCAGACCCTTTCCCATGGCCCATCCTCTGCACCGACTACTGGCTAGTCCCCACCTGTCACCTTCTCCTTCTGCGCCATCCCGCCTGAGCCTAGGGCTCCTCTGCCCCTGCAGCCCCTCGGGCTGCGCAATTTCCTCGGTGATAGTTTCAGACCTCCCTTCTAAGCCATTTTTTATTAGATAACTTTGTGTTCTTTTTCTCCTTAGTACATATTCACAATATATAACGAATATATTCAGCCTGAGAGGTTGGCACATGTACATGCTGCACCCTCATCCTCTGTATTTCTGCTTCTCTTTATAAGCCACTGCCAAACCTCCCGATGCACCTCTTTGGGGCTTAACTCCAAGACCTCACAGGGTCTCAGCACCCTTCCTTTATCCCACCCCTCGTCCAGCTAGAAAACCCTTCCTCAGCGGAGGCCGGGAAGGGACCCAAGCATCAAAAGAACACTGCTGGAGGGAGCCCTGAAGCTACAGACAGTAACTCAACCTTTCCCACACGAACAAACTCCACCTAACATCCCACCATCCACAGGAACGAACCTCGGCAGAGGCTGTGGGCCTGCGTCTGCCCTGTCACTGATCACTGAACATCAGCATCTGAAGAGACGTTGGGGTGTAGCTCAGTGAGGGAGCTGGCCTAGCATGCATGAGGCCTGGGTTCCACTTCCAGCTCCACAAACAGAAAGAAAAGTTATTTTGTTCTGTTTCCCAGGCATGGTGGTGCACTCTTGCAATCCCAGCACTCTGGGAGACTGAGGCAGGACGATCTCAAGTTAGAGCGCGCCTGGGTAACTTGGTGATTTTGTAAGAAATAAAAAGGGCTGGGGATGCAGCCCAGTGCAAACACCCTGAGCTCAATCCCCAGAAGGAGGAGAGGTCCAGAAAAGAGCCCACCGCCAGCAGAGGAGGTCCTGCACGCCCCTGCTAGCGCTGTGGGGAGTCCCATGCCACAGACGCAGAGTAGCGAGCCCCTCACTGTCCCCACAGCACCTGTGACTCCAGGCACAAACCACAGGGAGCCCTGACGAAGGGCTGGCACCCGACGCCCCGAGGCCCAGCGAACTCTGGCTCTGAAGCAGCGGACATTGAGGCCCAAACTCTCAACCACACCACGGCCTGTGAGCCTCTCCCTCGAGCTCGGCCAGACACCTGGAAACACCGAGTCCACCCCCAGAGGCCCTGCAGCCACCCGGTGGCCTCTTTCAATCGTCAAGGGGCCAAGGAGCTTCCTGAGCACGGGCAGAGCAGTGCCCCACGCCAGGCCAGGGGAGAAAGTGGGGCAAGAAGACAAGTCGCACCCAAAGGCCCTGCCCACGGTCAGAGCCAGGCTTCCTCCAGGGCACTGCAGACATCCAAGAGGTCCACATGCGTGCAAGACGTCCAAGTGCACACATGTGCTGTCCACATAACATGTACAGATGTGTGTATTACGCACGCAGAGGCACAGAAAGGTGCATTTTCTCCAACACGCAATGGCCGCCTGCAGAAAGCAGCAGGAGGACCCTGGCCAGCACAGGAAGCCTGAGTCAGGCCCTGGCACACAACACGCCAGCTAGAGCCAGAGGACAAGATGCTCGCCAGGGTCCCCAGCCACGTGACAACAGACACCCCATGTTCCGGTGGCTGAAGCCGCCAGCATGTTGCAGGGCAGGGCAGAACCTCTGACGGCAGCTGCAGCCGGAAGTCCGCAGCCCCTCAGCCACGGCCCTCTTTGCGTGGTGGCCTCGTTCCAATGTGCGACCCTATCAGAGCCAGGTTGGCATTTGTCTCGGGTACACACACAGAGGAAAGGAACGAGCTACTGCGACTCCCGCCATTCCTGAGCAGCAGGCAGGCCAGGCAAGGGCGGCTGAGGCCCTGTACCCACAGCAAGGTGACAGAAGCCAACAGAGCCCTGATCTCACACCCTCGCCACTGCCAACAGCCCAGCAGCTCTGGCTACCTGGCCCTGGCGAGCAAAAAGGCAGCAAAGGCTTGCAGGAGTGTCTCCAAGGTGCGGCCCACGACCAAAGTCCACAGCATATGCAAGTCAGGTCAGGCAAGCGACTGTACGAGCATTTCCGCAGGCCGTGGCTGACGGGCAGGGGCAGGGCAGGCGCTCCCTGAGCTTCCCAGGAGTGGCCCCGACATCTGGGACCTGAGCCTTGCAAGTGCTGCTTGAGAGCCGATGCCACCTCCATCCTGGCCACGGCGGGGAGCCGGGGCAGGTGTGGCGTGCGGTGCAGCCTCTGGGTTAGACAGTGTCCCCCAAAACTGGAGCCTCAGAGGGGAATGTTTCTGGAAACAGGTTTTTGCAGACAGAGTAAAATGAAGTCATAGGGGGCCGGGGATTTAGCTCAGCGGCACAGTGCCTGCCTGGCAAGCATAAGGTCGTGAGTTCGATTCTCGGTACCAGAAAAAAACTAAAAAAAAAGAATGAAGTCACAGGGACAGGACAGCCCCAAACCCAACCGACCGCCAGTGACCCGAGGAGGCCATGTGAAGGCCGGTGCAGGACAAGGCAGGTGGGGAGGACAGAGCCGAGCCTGTCACCCGTGGGAGGGGCCCTGCGAGAGAGGACAGGGCACCAGGGGGGGAACGCAGGCCGTGACGCTGAGCGCCTGGGACCTGAACACAGGCAGCCACTCCACAGCGGAGCGGCTGCACTGCAGGGAGCAGCCCCGGCCAGCCTGAGAGGCAGCACGCGTGGGACCTGCCACGGCCCAGCCACCCGCCCATCTCTAGGGGCCCAGGAGCATGGGAGGAAGGCCGGGGCACTCGTGAAAGGGTGAGCCCTCATCTCCAAGCGTGCCCACCTGAGGGGGCACAGGCCGTGTCCACAGACCTGCCCGCCAGAGCTGCCCATGGCTCTGTCCCCAGCAAAACCCAGAGGCAGTGGTGACACCAGCAGGGCCAAGGGGGAGCGACAGCAAGGCCACAGCAGACCTAAGTTATCACATGCTACTCTCCAGGCCCGGCCCAGGCAGCCTCATGGTGCTGGCTCTGGGCAGGACACATCACCCATGCCCATCCTGTCGCCAGCCTCCTCTCTGGTCAGCAGTGTGACACGCAGGTCCCCGGGGCGGAGAGACGCCCGCCCACAGGCTCTGGGAGCTGACACACATGTTCCCAGAGTGCGGTGGCACGGATGTCTCCTCCCTATTGTGTTCCCTCAAGAAAGAACTGCGTGACCCTCCCAGCCCACGTGCTACTCCCCGGAGACGCCTCCCTCCCCCCCCCCCCGCCCCCGTCCCGGGCCAGCGCAGGGCAGCCTTACCACAACAGGAGGCACCTCGAGGACCTTGTCCACGTTCTTCAGTGACAGGGGCACGTACCACAGGGTAGCCTTGTTGGTCAGCTTTTTGGCACCTTAAGGGAAGAAAAGCCGTGAGCAGCAGCCTGGGGAGGAATGTACCAGGCCCTGCCCCTCTGGCCCCCAGCTCCAAGGGCCTTTCTAGCTTCCCCGGCCCAGGGTCTCCACCACCAGGCATGCGGGACTGGAGCCCCACGGGCCACAGAGACAGGCTGTGCAGGCCCCAGCCCTGTCCTCGGGTCCCACCCAGGCCACTCTGGCCAGATGCAGCAGTAAGCCTGGCTGGTCCCAGGCCAGCCGGCTTCCAAACACAGGTCACATCTGGTGTTCTGACAGGAAGGAGTCTGGTCTCGGTAACACGCTGAGAGCTGGTTGAGGTGGCACACACCTGTAATCCCCGCACTCAGGTAGCTGAAGCAGGAGGACTGCAAGTTGAAGGCCAGCCTAGGCTACATAGTGAGGCTCTGCCTCAAAAACAAGAAGAAAAAAAAGAAAGGAAGGGAGGGAGGGAAGGAGGGAGGAAGGAAGGGAAAAAGGGAGGAAGGAAGGAAGGAAGGAAGGAAAGAGGGAGGAAGGGAAGGAGGGAGGGAGGGAAGGAGGGAGGGAGGGAAGGAGGGAATGAAAGAAGGAGAGAAGGAAGAAGGAAGGAAAGAGGGAAGGAAGGAGGGAGGGAGGGAGGGAGGGAGGCAGAAAGAGGAAGGGAGAGGAAGAAGACACATCAGAAGCCTCTAAGAGCCTCCTGAACAGGACATGGAACAGGCAGAGACTGTGCCCCCTGCCAGGTCTGGGGTCCCCCAGCTGGGCCAGCCCTGTGGACTCACAGCCCCTGGGGTACCAGCGCCCACATGTTCCCTGACAACCCTGTCCACCTGTCTGACACTGCCAGGAACTCCTGGCAGACGGGACACCCAGGAAGGACAGCACGTGGGCAGGAGAAGACAGGAAGAGGCCTGCGACAGCTCACCAGGGCCCCGACGGAGCCTCCTGGCCCTCACACCTGACCCCGGGACTCGCCGCCAGCCCACTCAAAGCTCAACCCAGGATCCCAGTGCTGAGCCAGGCTGTGGCCTACACATCCCTTAGGGCACTAAGCAGGGCAGAGGGGTTTTCTGGGTCCAGAGTTGACCGGTCCATCGTCAGAAGCCCAAAGCCCAGAGAGGTCACGGGGTTGGCCTGGGGTCACAAAGCAACTTGGAGCCATTCTGAGTAGACCTAGGCCTTGCAGGACCAGGTTATCTGAGAGTGTTTGCAAGGATGGCCATAAAGGTGGCTTTTGCAGCCTGGGAGATTCCTCGTGCAGAGCGGACTCATGACACTACAGGAAGCGACAAACAAGGGGGCGGCGCAGGAGCAGTGGGGCCCCTTCCAAGAGCCCCAAGGAGGCCGCGACCCACCAAGCGCCTCTAGCCTGCTCTCCCGGCAGGGACCCCGGGCTTCCCTGAGGTTCCCACTGGCCACAGCCCCAGGATGCAAGTCTGGTGGGGGTGTCAATCAAAGGAGGGCCTAGAGCCACCCCTGCCTCCGCCCCGCTGCAGCTCCGCCAGGTCAGCGCTGCCTCCTGGGGACCGCAGGCAGACACGATGGGAAAATATTTCCACGGCGCTTTGACTCAGAGTGAATCTGACAGCTTGCTTTTGGGAATAAAGATTTCCTGCTGGGCTCGGCTGGAGCCAGGCTGCCGAGCAGGTTTCCATGGAAACCCAAGTGGCCCGCCAGACCTAAATGAACATGCTGAGCAGGAGAAGGCAAACATGCTAATTGCACGTTCGCCATCGCTTACAACACCACTGCCAGATCTGCGGCGCTGACATCTCTTTTTAGCTCTGGAGAGCCCCCAGCTATGCTCCGGAGCGACGGCAGCGTCACCTCGTGTTAGCACAATGTTGTGACGGGTTGCGGAGACGAATGAGTGGCGCCTCAGAGCCAGGTCTGCCGGGAGAGCTCAGCCTGTGCCCACTCAGCTACCTGGCGGGCACCCTGCTCGAGGGGGCACAGGAGGGGCCGCTGCCTCCCTCCAGGAGAAGGGACGTGGAGCTGCCATGCCAACTGTGTCACAAGTCTGCCTCGTCCATGCTCCCCTTGTCCCCAGCCTGTGTCCCTCCAGTCTCAGTGGCACTCGCCCGCTCAGGGGTGCCGCATGGGCTCAGGGCAGCACCGGGGGTCAGGTCTCACAGCTCCCTTTCCAGGGGACTCCCGGGCAGACAGAGACACTGGAGGGCAGAGACAGGCCTGGAGGACAGCAGAGGGACACCATGTGTCTGTCTGAGGTGGAGACAGAGACTGCAGAGACCCACACAGCCCAGGAGAAGCCGGAACCTACGACTGCAGAGTACAAGACCGGAAGCCTAGCCCTACCCAGCCGCTCTGGGCAAAGGGATGTGGGGGGCCAGGCCCCTGGGCTCCAAGGCCGCACTGCCGGCCCTGCTGGGAGGCTGGGTTTGTGGAGAGCGGGGAACCTAAGCTCTGCCCCTCACATCCCTGTTTTCTTACCCATGGGATGGGTGATGCCCGGTGTCCCCTCTGACGCCAAACAGTGAGGAAGCCTTTACAGAGGGCAAGGGGGAGTGGACCCGGGGCCTTGGGCTCAGCAGCTATTTGTTTTTAAAGCTTATTTCAAGACAGGGTCTCGCTAAGTTACCCAGTCTGGGCCTAAACCTTGATCTTCCTGTCTCAGCCTCCCAGAGGGCTGGGATTACAGGCAGGTGCCACCACGGCCAGCTTCAGAGTATGGGGGCCTCAAAGACAGGTCCTGTCTCACACATCTGGTTACGGCCCTGTCTGCTAGTTCACAGGCAGGGGTGGACACTGGGCCGTGGAGCCTGTCAGGAAGAGGAGGTCAAGGCCTACACCAAGCCTGGACTTTGCCGTGGGGAAGGAGGGTCTGACCACTCTGAAGCCCGAGGACGCCTCCATGCACCTCCAACTGTGGGTGCTGCCACTTGTAGGGCGCTGTGGGCTGCAGCATACAGAGGGCGGCTCCAGAGTGGGAGCGGCAGCCCCCACCCTCCAACTCTGGGGCCCAAGACCCCACAGCGGGAAAGCCGGGGCTGACAAAATGCCGCCAACCTTCAGCAACAGGTAAGCATGAGGACGGGGGGCACCACAGAGAGTGGCCAGCACCGTGGGGAGAAGGCCATCGCAGCTCGGCCCAGAGAGGAAGGCCCAGACCACCCCAGGGCGCAAGGGGGCCACCTGCACTGCCACGGTGGGCACAGCTGGCCCTTCCTGTGCCACAGCCCATGACCAGCAGCAGCTCAGGGTCACCAAGGACAGAGGTGCCAGCTGCACGCAGGCCGTGACCTGTGGAGACCAGCTTCGCTCGGCTGGATCAGCCCCTAACTGCCAGCCCTGCCAAGGTCACCAGGATGTTCCAGGGACTACTGCACTCTGTGTGCTGCGGGGAAGGAGGTTTGAGCCCTCTTAGGCAGCCCCAAGCCCAAGGTCTGCAGAGCCACTACTGCTGATGACCAGGGGCAGGGAGCAAAGGAAGGGAATGGCCGAGCCTCTGCTCTGCATGGGATTGCAGGTGGCTGTGAGCCGGCCAGAGGGGGCAACAGGTCCCGCCTGCTCCGTCACCAGCTGGGTTATAAAAAGCAGCATGTGCGCGTGTGAGAAAATGCCCTGCTCTCCTGAGGCGCCGAGGGAAGGAGTTTCCATGGCTACTGCAGCAGAGGAAAATGCAGAGGCACCCACCCAGGCCGAGGTTCGCATGCCAGCTCCCGCCCAAGCCTGGCTTCTGCCCATGCCCACCATGTGGTCCTCCCAGGGGCAGGCAGCAGGCCCTGCCAAAGCCAGAGCTTCCATGCCACAGAAGGGACAGGGCAGGGACAGCAACGGGCAGAGGGCTGGCAGCCCCGGCCATGCCCACACTGCCCCAGGCAGCTGGCAGCCCCAGCACTGCCACCCCGGCGGACATGAGCAGCTCTGTGGCCACCCTGATTGTAGCAGCTGTCGTTTGGCCACCCTCAGGCAGGCGGCTGGGTGAGGAGCACCCGGAAGTTACCTGTGAGGATGTTTTCGGACATCACGTTGACCTGGACTTCCACAGAGTGTTTGGAGGTGTAGGTGATCTCTGCGCTGACGTGAGCCACCTCGCCAATGCACATGGGCGACAAGAAGTCGGTGCGCTCGACCCGGGCCAGGGCGGCCACACAGCGCTCCTGCGGGATCAGAGTCACCAGTCACCAGAGCCATCCGGACCAGCACGGTGAGCCCCTGCCCCAGACACGCCCCTCCCGCAGCGGTGGCCTCCGGTTTTGTTGCCCACTTTCAGTTAGCTCTACACTGTCCCCCAAAAGCTGCGTGTGTTTGGAACTGGGGGGGGTCTCGGGCGCTGTGCCATCAGTGGTCTCATCCCTTCATGGGCTCGGCACTGCAGGAGGTGGGGCCTGGCTGGAGGCGGGCAGGGCACGGCCAGGGAAGGATTTTGTCCCGATTCCTCCCTTCTCTCTCTGCCTCCTGGTTGCCATGTGGTAAGCACCCTTTTCTCCACCAGGCCATCCTGTTTGTGCCTTGGAGCCAGCAGCCTATGGGCTAAAAATGTGAGTGGGGGCCGGGGATATGGCTCAGTGGCATAAGTGCCTGCCTGGCAAGCACAAGGTCCTGAGTTCAATTCCCGCTACCAAGAAAAAAAAAAAAATCACATTGAAAGAAAGTAATTGGAAACGGTTAAAAAAAAATGTGAGTGAACACAAACCTCCCCTGCTTTACACTGCGGCTATCGGGTATCTTGTCTCAGCGACGAAAGGCGACGAAGACACCAACCGTGCGGGCGGTGCCGGCTGCTGACAGCGGAGCGGCAAGCGGGAACGCGCGGCGCCAGAGCCAGGGCTGCGCTGGGGGTGAGGCCCGGCTGCCTCCTGACAGCCGGAGGAGACGCACGGCCCGCCTGCAGAGCCGGGAGGCACCGGACGCGAGGGCGCCGCTTTCCCCTTCCAAGGAGAGGCCGTGCTGGGTCCTCCCCGGCCTTCCACGGAGCATCTGTCCAGTTGCCGGGGCCCTTGCTTCACAGCCTGTGCGAGGCCTCCAGGACCGAACCCCGGGCTGCATAACGGGGCCAAACTTGAGTGCGCACACTTTCACACTCTCACCTTTCTCACTCAACGTGGGAAAAATAACCCGCCCATCAGGACGGCACTCTTCGCCATCGTGGTTCGGTTAGGACTTCAGTTCTGTTCCATCAGCGCGGTAGCACACGCCCACAATTCAACACTTGGAAGGAACAGAGGGGCACCTGGCACCAGGTGTGGCCCCAGTCACCTGGTTCCCTGCCACCCAGTCCCCACGGGTCAGAGAAGATGCAGACCCAGACCACGCACTGTGGCTCCAAGGTGCCAGGCACAGCCAGCCCCCCGCCCGCCTCTCTTCCTCCACCCTGGACAGCGCCCTGCAGAGCCCATGTGGGCTGCTAGGAGAAAATTCCACGGACTGACTGACATTTAACCCCACGATTTCTGGGGGAGAAAGTTCAGGATCAAGGTGCCGGCAGGTTCGTGTCTGGTGAGGGCCTGCTGTCATCACTGGCGCACGGCAGCTGTCCTCACGCGGCAGAGGGCCGAGAGGACTCTCCCGGGTCTTGCATCACAAGGGCACTGAGCCCTTTCCTGAGCCCCACCCTCCTGACAGGATCACCTCTGCAGCGCTGCCCCGGAGAACATCATCCCGAGCGGCAGGATCTCACACGGGGAATCTTGGAGGGACACCAGCCAACCAGGGTAGCATCGCAAGGACCCTTACGTTCCCTGACCCCACTCTGCCAAGTTACTTTCTTTTTTCCTTTCTTTGTCTTTTGGAGATTGGGTCTCGCCATGCAGTTCAGGCTGGCCTTGAGCTCGAAACAATCCTCCTGCTTCAGCTTCCCAAGTGCTGGGATTACAGGCTTGCGTCACCACGCCCGGCTCTGAGTTACTTTTAATGGCCAAAGAGAACTGAACTCTCGTATTAAAGATCTGTTCAACCTTTGCTGTTACTTATTATAAACAACTTCTGTGCTTGGGATAACTCCTAGGTCCAAGGGATGAGTATTTTGATATATGTTCCCAAAGTCCTTCCCAACGGCCAGTGGTGACCCCCACAGCTTCTGGACCTCAGGTCATCCTACAGTACTGGGACTGAACCTTGAACCTCTGACAGAGCTACATCCCCAGCCCTTTTTTGTTTTTCAGTTTGAGGCAGGCTCTCACGAGGTCCCTAAGTTGCCCATGAGGGTCTTGAACTTGTTATTCTCCTGCCTCAGCCTCCTAGAGTGCTGCAATTGCAAGCATGTGCCACCACACCCAGCACAATCAATTTTTTTTTCCCCTTTGCCAGTCAAATCACACAGTCAAACCACACAGGCACAGTGACAGCGTGGGCCTCGATTCTGCGCTGAGTGATTGGCACGTGATGGCCATGTGCTGGACGCCGTCACCTCTCACAGGACGCTGGCAGTGTGGACGGGGCCTTCCAGCTGCCCCTGGACTGTGTGGGTAGGGCAGCCCGTGAGGCCCGCCCAGCTCTGTCCCCCTTCACAGCAAGTCCTCACAAGAGCCTCTGACAAGCGCTGAGGCAGGAGGCAAGCTGTCCAAGTCACAGGGTGGCAGGCGCCAGCTTGAGCCTTAGTGTGTGCCCTACACCCTCCCCACCAGCTGCCCACTGCCACCCAGACCCCTACACACAGCTCGCCCCTAGCCCGAGAGCCCCGTCCCCCTGGCGACCTGACACCCCTTGGCCCTTCCCAAACCCAGAACTTGCCTCTTCTGAGCCCCGCCAGGCACCTGGATCTCACCCTCCCAGGTTGGTCTCGCCCACTCAGGCTGGGGACCTGTGACAGCGCCACTGCCCCGGCCATCACAGAGACAGATGGTCTCAGCAAAGCAAGCGGGTCTGGGCAGGAAACCACCTGCCAGCGACACTTCTGGAACTCACTCTGACCTGCAAACCTGTGCCCCTCCCAGCCACAGCGAGCAGGAGGTAGCAACAGGGAAGGTGGCCCCGGCACGGCGGCGAGGCAATGGCACCACCCACTGGCAGCAAGCTGGAAAGGCAAGGGCTGCGCTGAGCAGGGCAAGTCTGGCACGGTGGCTCTGGGTCCGGCAGCACCACTCCCTGGAGCCATCCAAGCGCCGCCGGCAAAGCGAAGCGCGGAAAAGGCCGGCGTCCTCTACTGGAAAGCGGCTCCCACGGACCACCAGGCACACCCTTGCTTCCGCGTATCACTGGCAGTGCCCGCTCCCAACACAGGGACGCTGCAGCCTTGCTGAGCACTGGGGCCCAGACAGGGGTGACGAGCAGGAGCAAGGCCCCCACCTGCAGTTAGGGTGCAGAGGAGCCGGTGGGGATGCAGCAGGAGGGCAAGAGTCAGACGAGGGCGCTGGCTGAGATGGGAGCCCCTAGGTGTCAGGTGGGAGCAGCCGGGCCCGGCAGGCAGACCCCAGGGGCAGACGGAGGGAGAGCAGGGCAAGGCGGCAGGGACGCGTCTCGGGCAGCTCCAGGCCTCTGGGGAAGGTGGGAGACACAGGAGCCCAGGACCAGGCCCCCACTGGTCCACGTCAGTGTTGGGGGGAATTCCGAGTCCCTCTAGCACTGTCCCCCGGGCCTCCCAGAGGTGCCCACCAGGCCTGGCATGGGGACCCCTGGAGCCACGGGAAGCCTGGAGCCAGACTCCCTCCTGGCTGAAACATGGGAGAATGCGAGCCCTGTGATCTCACCCAGCCTGGTTTCCGGACCGGAGACCCTGGGCAACGAGCTCTCCTGTTTGGCACGAGGAGGCCTGAGCCTCGGCTGGGCTGCTGTGACCGTGTCAGACGGGTGCTGACGGCATGAGCCAGTCCTGGGTGGCTCTGCCACGACTGAGTAGCTGTTTCCCAAGACCTTGCTGGGTGCTGGGCTGGCCCAGGCCTCCCACAGAGGCGGGTGTGACCCAGAAATCCCACACTGGGCTGGAGCGTCATGGCTTTGGGCACCTCTGGCTCCTGTTGCCCCAAGCACCCTACGACTCCAGGCTTCTGGGGCACAGGGAACAGGGCGGCCTCCACCCCAGGAAGGAGCCATGAGCGCTCTGATCAGCATCTGCCACAGAAACGCCCTCGGCTGTGTCCCCAGGTGACCAGCATGGGCTTCTGATGGACCCCAGGGCCTCGGGCCAGGCCAGCAATTTCGGAAACAGCCCAAAAGAGCAACCGTGGAGACTGGGTTCAAATCCCAGCTCCGCTGCTTGCTGGCTCTGCGACCAGGGGCAGGGACACCACCTCTCTGTGTCACTTTGTATGTGCAGACAGCACAGGGTCCATGAAGACCGCCCAGGGCTCCAGCGAAGTCCCTCAGTGGTCACGTCTAGCCACCCAGGAGTTGGGGGTGTCACCCTGAGCTGCCTGGAGCTCACAGACCCTCCGGAGCCGGAACCTCTAGGTCACCTTCCAGGGAGTCAGAACAGGTGCTGAGCACCCGGGTGTGGAGCAGCAGGACCTAACGCAGGAGCCTCCCGGCCCAGGCCTCCCCCTACACCTTCAGGGGCCTCACCCTTTCCACACTCAGCTTCCCATGTGTGCAGGGGGACAATGGGAATAATGATGCACGACACCACTTGGAGGGGGGCACGAGAGGTACACGCTCTAAAGCCCATCAGAGCTCTGCAAACACCAAGTGTTTAGCAAATGCAAGCGACTGCTTCTGCACTCACCAATGGCCCTGGTGCCCACTAGGCCTCCCAAGCCCTCCACTGCCCTAGTCCTAGGGGCCCTGGCATCCCAGTGTCCATCCTCTCTGGCCAGGCCTACCTGGGACCTTCACCATCCATCTCCGGAAGGGTCTACCAGACTTCCAATCTACAGGCTTAGGCCTGTCCTCTCCACAGCCACCAGAGGGCGCTCTCTGCTGCACCAGGTTGCAAGAGTCCAAACCCCAACAGCCACCACCAAGACCAAACCAGCCAGGCAGGCAGCACCCAGCCCCACTCCAGCACCCTTGGAGGCGCCTACACCCAGCCCTGCCCACAGCCCGGGTGTGGCTCAGTCTCCATGCCAGCCTTCTACTCCAGGGGAGACAGGGCTGGCACACGTGCTATGCTCTGAAAGCATGGGTACTGACCCCCAACGTGGCAGGATGAGGAAGTGAGGCCTCAGGGGGTGGTTTAAGTTGTGAGGTGGAATCCCCATGAATGAGGCCGTCACTCTTAGAAAGAGCCCAGGGGACGTCCTGTCACCTCCAGCCTTGAAGGACCTTGTGACAAGACGCCACCTAGGAGGCCCAGAGCCGCGGGGCCACGCTGCTGGGCTCCCCAGTCTCTAGGACAGTCCTCAGGCCGCCCTGGGACGTTCAGAGGCCCCCCGGGTACAGCTCCAGGCCATCGCAATGAAGCAAGCGTCACAACACAGCAAGTCACACAAGCTTTCGGGCTTGCAGAGCATATACAAGTTACATGTGCCGTGTCCTGCAGCTCTGAAGTGTGCCGTAGCACTGTGTCTAAGGGATAACATGTAGATCTTAATCACAGGTGCTTTATTAAAACACTTTACTGCTAAAAACTGAATGATCATCTGAGCCTTCAGCAAGCCCCAGTGTTTTTGCTGGGAACGGCTGCAACGGTCTGGCGGGGGCGGCTCCTGAAGGCTGGGATGGTGGTGGAAATTTCTTTTCCTTTTTTATTTTTTTTTTTTTTTTGAGACCGGGTCTCACTATGCAGTTCAGGCTGGCCTCAACCTCACTGTGTAGCCCAAGCCGGTCTTGAACTTGCAGCAGTCCTCCTGCCTCAGCCTCCAGAGTGCTGGGATCACAGGCATGTGCCACCACACCCAGCACACACTGGCAATTTCTTAATGTAAGACACCAATGAAGTCTCCGCCTGGCTCTTTCTTCAGGAACAAATTTCTCTGCAGCATGAGGCGGTCTAGAGGCATCTCACTCACAGGAAGTAGAACGCGTCTGAAAGCTGGAAGCGATCCTCTTAGGTTCGGCAACTGCTTTATCAAATCTGTGACACCCTAGGCCGTCTGCTGTCACTTCAACAGTGTCTGTGCCGTCTGCCCAGCAGGAATTCCACTTGCCTTGCCCATCCTAACAAGCAGTGCTTCACCAGCCCGAGGTCCAGGAGTGAGCGGTCTGGTCCCGTCCTGGGCTCCACTCCTTGCCCCACTTCTCCGGCAGCTCCTTCCGCCTGCAGCTCCTTCCGCCACGGAAGCCTCAAGCCCTCGCACCACCCAGAAGGCTTTGGTCAACTTGTCCCCACCGCCTGTGAACGTCGTTATCGCCCAACCTCCCCTGAATCACGGAGCTTCTTACCGGCACCTACCGTGACGGATCCTCTCCAAATGCTTTCGGGTTCCTTTGCCCAGACCCATCAGAGAAATCACTCTCTGCAGGAACCACAGCCTTGCAAAATGCATTTCCCACATGGCAGGACTTGGAGGTTGAAATTACTTCTCCAGCCATGGGCTGTAAATTGGATTCTGCGTTAGGAGGTGTGCAAACAGCACTCATCTCATCGTGGTGACCAAGGACACTACCGGGGCAGCTGCCTTAGCCAGCTGCCCGTGGCCGAGACACAATACCTGACACCAACACATTAAGGAGGGGAGCTCATGCTGGCTCAGGGTCTGCGGCGGTGCAGCCGGCACCCTGGCTCCAGGTGAGGGCAGCAGCCTGCGGGGCAGCGAAGCAACGCTGCTGGCCTCCTGGAGACCAGGAAGCAGCGAGAGAAGAGAGGAGTCGGGCCCTGCCAGGCCTCACCTGCGGCCTGCCCCGCCCTCCCCAAGGCCGGCACCACAGTCCAGCACCTTCCAAGCCTGAGCCCTAACAGCAGCCATGTGTGGAAAGGAAAACAACTGTTTTTGAGACCGGGTCTTACTATGTTCTCAAAACTATAAGCTCAAGGAGTCCCCCTGCCTCAGCCCTTGAGTAGACCGGACTACAGATGTATGCCTCCATGCCCAGATTTTGCAAACAATCTTGTTCTTATAAGACCCACAGTTGAGCAGTGGGTTTCAACTGTGGACTTAAGAATATGGTACACCGTGCTGTGATTACATGCACCGACCACTAACAGAGCCCAGGCAGAGCGGGGTTAGTGAACCCTTCAGGACCCAGGATTTCCAGAATGGTCCGTGAGCAGGGGCTTCCACCAAAAGCCATCAGCCAGCTGCTTTAGGCCCTAACACTATGCTCCTTTCAGAGCGAAGCATAGTGGCACACGCCTGTAATCCTAGCACTCAAGAGGCTGAGGCAGGAGGAGCTCAGTGAGTTTGAGGCCAGCCTGGGCTACACAGTGACTTCAAGGCCAGGCTAGACTACATAGCAAGAGCCTTTCCTGAAAGAAAACAAAACAAACAAACAAAAAAGACACTTTCTAAATCAGCAAGGAGGCTCTCTGGCTTTCTGCCACTCGTGTGTCCCCGGAGCAGCACTCGGGTCTCACAGAACTCACTCTGATTCATCGCACAGCTTGGCTCGGCCTCTTGTGTGTCTTCCTCCTAAGCTCGATTATTTCTAGTTTCTGACCTCAAGTGAGAAACCTGCAGCTTCTCCTTTCACCCAAACACTTGGGGGACATCACGGAGTTACTCAGCCGCCCGATTTTAACACTGTCCCCTCAGGGAGCAGAGGGAGAGGGTGGAAGACGGGGCGCGGCCGGAGCAGTCAGGACACACCCCATTTATGGAAGAAGTTCATAACTTAAATGAGTTACCATAGTAACATCAAAGACTACTGACTGGGGCTGGGGTGTAGCTCAGGGGTACAGTGCTTACCCAGCATGCACAGGGCACAGAGCTTCATTCCCAGCACCACCAAAAGAACCCAGAAACAGAAAAATCCCAGAACACCAAAGCGGATATTATAATAATGTTTGGGAGGGATATTTTTGGCTCGGTTTGTTGTTGTTTTCCCAGTACAGTAGTACTTCCATTCACGAATGTAATTTTTTGTATAAGTTGTGGAATGAATTCCGCGACCAGAACTGTGCAAAGAATTAAGTCCAAGAACCAAGAACCACCGTGCTGGGAATTGAGCTCAGGGCCTTCCCACTGAGCTACATCGCCAGCCCTTTTTAAAAAAAAAAAAGTTTTTTGAGATAGGGTCTTCTAAGTTGCAATTCTCCTCCCTGGGCCTCCCTGAGTGCTAGAATTATCGGCAGGCACCACCACACCAGGTAAAAGATTTACAACATTACAACAACTACCGACAGGTGGCACACAGACACAAAGTGCGCACATTCCGTTAGAATTTTTAAAGTGGAGCCACTAGCCTCACGCCTGCAAGGTTAGCACAAACCCTCAGTTCCAAACACAGCGTCTGCGCAGTGCAGCAGCTCAAAGTAAGGCCCCGTACCGAGGAGCGGCCTGGCCTCAGCAGCCTCACTGCCACCTTGCCTGCCGGGCCCGTCGGAATGAACGGGGCCTCTCCCGGGCCCTGGCCTCTGACCACAGTGGGCCACACAGGGTAGACCCGGAGCAGCACCGCCATCGCTGGCCAAGGCCCCACTGGCCGTGGGCTCCCACAGTGCCCTCCACACCTGCCCCGTCCCTCGCTCCCTGCCTGGCCCAGAGGACGCAGCCAGTCCTGCAGAGCTGGAGGATGACAGTCTACAGGGCCACCTTGCACCATGCAGGCCCAGCTGACAAGGAGCTGGTGCCATGGTGGGCACTACCATTGGATTTCAGGGTCAGGAGGCAGCGGGTAAGAGCCACAGCGTGTGCCCCTGGCCACCAGTCTTGGCGAGGGGACAGAGGTACACCCAGGCCCCAGAAGCTGCCAGCAGCTTGGTCTCTGAGGTTTCCCACCCTCCTCTCTGGGGTCGCAACCAAACATGAGCCCAAGCCCCAGCCAGGGCTGCCTGTGCCAGAGCCTGGGAAAGCCCCAGCCTGGTGGGCAGGGTAGGGAAGACTCCGGCCCCAGGCTCCGGGCCAGCCCGTTCCTGGGCCCACACTCACCCCGTTCTGGCTGTTGCAGTGCCGGGTGCTGATGATGGCCCCGGCCTCCTCGATCATCTTCAGGATGGTTCCGCCGTGGACGTTGCCCGCCACGTTAGCGTCATCTGGCCGCATGATCCTAGGGTGGGTGAGAGAACTGAGATGAGGCCAGTGGGAGCAGACAGCGCCTGCGCCCAGCGCCCTGGGGAGGAGAGGCCCCTGAAGGGCCAAACGGCTCCCAGCAGAAGGGGAACTCCACATGTCTGGGGCCTCCTGAGACGGTCACTCGCCAGGACCAAGCGCGACCCTGACGGGCCACGAGCAGGACCGAGGGGCTGGGGGACTTCCTCCTCCTGGAGCCACAGGCACAGCCCGCCCTGGCCAGCAAAGGCCTGCAGCAGAGCCACAGCGCCCGACAGCACACACCGGGCTCAGCAAGGGAGAGCACGAGACACAGACTGTGATGCTGGCACAATCCTGCGGTCACCATGCCCTGGTGGACGTCTCAGGGGGCTGGGCGGCCATGGCTCTTCTGAGAACTGGACACAAGAGCCCTCTGCGCCCTGTCACCAGGGGATTACTGACCGTCACCTGCGCACAGTGTGGGGAACACCTGTGGGCGGAGCGGGGCTGGCGGGGGCCTGGGCTGAGAGGCAGGAAGAACAGCAATGCCATGTACCTCCCCTGAGAGGAGCCTGTGTCCCTGCCGTGCGTGCCAGCAGTGTGGACGCTCCATGAACTCTCTGGAATGCCAGCAAGCTTGCCTGGCACTCCTCCCACGGCAGCCCACGAGCTGGCACCTTTCCTGACCACAGCCCTTGTGCGATCCGCCTTCCCAGGCTGGGCACAGGTGGCCAGCAGTGCGCATGTGGCCTGAATCCAGCTGTTCGCCTGCCTGCTCCACCCTGCCGGCCCTGTGAGCCCTGAGCAGCACCCGAGCCTGGCAGCCCCACGGCAGCAGCCGGGAAGCCCAGCAAGTGGGCTCTCAGCACGACCTGGCCCGGCTCGGCTCCCGCCAGCCCGTGCTCAACCAGCTAAAACTCCGCTCCTCGCCTGCGCAACGGCGAGCAAAGCCCCACCTCCCGCGCCTGCGCAGAGGCGATCAGCCTCCGCCTCAGCTGCGCGTATGAAGGGAGCCGGGTAAGAGGGAGGAGCCGCAGCTGGGCCCCACAGTGCTCCACAGCCCTGCAAGCCCCGCTGCAGGCCCTGGTCCATCTGTCAGAAGCTCCAAGAAAGAACCAGGAGACACCTTCGACGGCAGGCGGCACCGTCCGTGCCTGTGCCTACACCCAAAGGCACCGTGGGTACCTTCGCCTGCCCTTGCATCGTGCAGCCACGTGGCCCCGGTGCGGCCACGGGAGCCAAGGCCCGCTGAGGGGGCTCCCGGCCCTGCTGTCGGGCAGGCCTGGGACCACACACTGCCAACATCCTGCGGCCTTCCCCACGCACAGGCACCCTGGCACTTGGTACTGACCCCAGAGTCAGCACAGGGAGCCCAGCTGTGTGGCCGCCCCACCCCCGCCGGGTCCCCCCTGCCCCTCTGGCCCTCCACGAAGGACCATCCTAACCAGGCCAGTGGCCACCTGGAACACAGCCTCAGCTCTGTGGATCCAGCTACAAACCTCTCCTTGAAGGACCTCAGTCCTCACTAGGGACTCTGCTGCCGCCTCCACGCTTGGGCCAAAGCCCGGCTCAAGCCCTCTTCCGCTCAGCGTGCCCAGTGGAGGCTCCCCCACAGCCAGTGGCGCTAGCACCTGTGTTCCTGGGCATCCCTCGTCACCTGCCTCCCTAACCCCTCGCCCCATCTCTGGACAGACAGGTGCTGGGAGCGAGAGGGGACCCAGGAGGATGTGGGCCCTCCTCTGAGCTTTCACTTCCCCAGCTTTGATAATGCCATGGGCGTAAGAAGCATTTCCTGTTCCTCGTTACTAATCACAAAGAAAGAGAAGTCCTGGCAGAGCCAGCAGATCCTGGAAGGTGACGGCGGGTACAGGGAGGAAGGAGTCCAGGACGTGAAACCCCTGGGCTGGAGGCCCCAACTTCAACGTGAATCTCCCAATATTTGAGGGGTGGCACCCAAGTGCCAGCTCCGTCACCTCTCAGGCCAGCTCAGGCAGCGGCGCGGGGCTGACCAGGCCCGGGGTGCTGCTGAAGTCAAGCCTGACCCCGGTCTCCTCCCCCGACCCTGCCGATCCTGCGCCAGCCCAGGGGCAGCCTCTCCCGCATGGCCACCTCGGCTCACCAGGCAGCCACAGGAAGCGGTGCAGACTCCCCCACACCGCACCCTCCCGTCCCAGCACACATCTGTCCAGTCATCCTGGATGGTGGCCAGGCTGGGCCCAGGGCTCACACACAGTGACACCATGTCCCTCAGCAGTGTCCCCTCCGGGGTGGCAGCAGGCTGGTGACAAGGACACTCAGGAACGGCAGAGCAGCCACCCCCAGACTCCAGGAGACTTCCCTGAGGAAATGACACCTTGGCCAGGTCCTGGAGGGTGGCCTGGGAGCAAGGGTGAGGCACAAACTGTCCCTCCGAGCAGAGGGGCACTGAGAGCGGCTCAGGGGAGCGAGGGCAGGACGGGTGGCAGCACAGCAAGCCAAGCTGTTACACGAGGCCCGTGGCCGGACAGCGTCTGATCCCGATCGGGAAGGAGGGGTCGGGGAGACAAGGAGGCGGGGAAATCACACAGCTCACAGGTGCGTGGTTGGGGTGACGCCCCAGCTTCCACTTTCAGCCTGGGTCCTAAACTCACTGCTCCCCTGGCTGCCCCAAAGGAGTTTGGTCTTAAACAGGGACCTGGGGACATGGCTCAGACGCTCCAGGGCCTTTCTATCTATAGAACAGAGGACCCAGACCCTGGGGCTCTGGAACTCACCTCCCTCGGTCCTGCTGCCCCTCCCCAGTGATATCTGAAGAAAGGGACCATCGCCACAGGAGCAGCCTTACCGACATAATGCAAGTGCACGGGTGTGCCAGCCCTGACGCTCCACCTGTAAGAAGATGCCCTCCAGAGGAGGCTACATTGCACACACCAGGTGTGTTCAGTCACGATGCCAAGCCGCCTGTGATGTGGAGGCCACCCACCTCCGCAGTGCCCACCACCAAGGGCAGGAAAGTGAAATCTGCACACGGAATACTGCTCAGCCCGGAGCAAGGGCCACGAGCTTGCTGAGATGCACTGCTGGGGGAGTCAGAGCAAGCTGTGGAAGAAGGCAAGGGGACCGGGAGGGCCTCGGCAGCCCTGGAGAAGGGCACTAGCGACTGGGCAGGGCCGCAGTGAGATTCCAGATTTTAAAATACTCAGCCTGCTCCAGACTTCCAACCCACGCTCGAGACGCGGGTCCTCTGCCTGACCTGCAGCCACTCCTTGTCACACATGGACCACCACCACCCATGCCGGGGGCGCCTGCAGCTGCAGCTCTCCGGGTACAGCCCACCTCCCTGCAGCTGAGGAAAAGCGCGGCACCCTAGAGCACACAGCCCAGCCAGAACCCCACAGAGCTCACAACCCAGGCTGAACTGTGTCCCCCAAAAACTCAAGTTCAAATCCTAACTGCTGGTGCCACGAATGTGATCTGACTGGAACCTGATCTTCGCAGATGAGATTCTGTCAAGATGGGGCCAGACCGAGTAAGTGATGTGCGTAAGAAGACAGGAAGTGCCACTCAGACGCACAGGAGGACGGCCACGCACCCCAGCGGCAAAGACTGGGCAGACGCAGCCATAGCTAAGCAACACCAGGGATGGCCAGAAGCCGCCAGAAGCTCAGAGGCAGGAAGGACCCTCCACCCTACATTCAGGGGGGCATGCTGTGCTAAGCCCTGGATTCCGGGCCTGCCTCTAGACTGGGGGAGGATAAGTTCTGGTCATTTTAGGCCCCTGCCTTGTGTCCTCGGTCACAGCAGTGCCCTTGCTGGTGCCTCTGCTCCCCACACAGCCGCAGCAGCACAAGCCCCCGGGGCGGCCACCTGGGCAGCGGCAGTGCTGACCTCTGCCCACCCCTCCCACAGCCTGCTGTGAGTGTGGCCAGCGTCTCCAACTCTGCCTGGAAAATGTCACAACTAGGATTTAAACTGTGGCTGCATGGAAACCATGGCAACCAGGGTGGGGTGGCCCGGCTTCCTGTGCTCCACAGTGAACCCGGAAGTAATGGAGATAGAGTGGAGGCAGCACACACACCCAGGTTTACAGGCATGACAAAGAGGCCAGGCCAGGCCCACGCTGGCCCCGCCAGGCAGCAAGCTCTAAGGACACGACGCAGGGCACAGGGTCAGGACGTGGCCAGCACAGGGGCTTCTGGAAGGACTGTCACCCCCCCACAGAGCTGCAGGAGGCAGCCTGGGGCACGGCAGCCTTGTGGACATGCCAGGCACCTGAGGAGCAGCGGCCGTGGTGGAGAGCATGCCAGGGACAGAGGCTGCCACTTCTTGCGGGGAGGAGCCGCGGGCCGGGGGACCTCACGCCACAAGTGTAAGGCTGGCCTCGAATGCCGGGGCTGGGGCCAGCTCCACCTCATCTCTCCACAGGGAGCCGTGCCTTACAGAGGCCAGGTGGCACTGTCTATCCTCCACTAGAGGGTCCAGCCAGGTGCTCCAGGGCCAAGACCCCCTGCATCTGCCACCAGAGGGCAGGAAGGGAAAGCAGCTGGGCCACGGGGAATTCCAGCCCCAGGGTAAAATGAGGAAGGGCTGACAGCTCCCCTCAAAGCCCTAGGCTCACGCTTCAGAAGGGGCAGGGGAATGGGCCAGTGCCCACAATCCGGGACCCGGAGCACCAGGGGCAGAGGAGGGAGGGAGCCACAGAGCAGAGGCCAGGTGGCTGTGGGAACAAGGCTGGGGAGGAAGGGGGCTGCCACAGCACTGGGGAGAGGCGGGCAAGGGCTGAGCCCTGCCCGAGCCCACCGGGTCCCGGGGCTGGACTTCTGCCATGCTGGGTGACCACTGAGCAGCACAAGTGGTGCCACTGCCAGCCTTTCTGGCCACCGAAGCCCGCCAGCCTGCCAGGCAGGTGTCCCCAAGACACGCGATCTGCGTAGAGTCACGCTGTGACACGCTGTGATGGCTCTAAGCACTCAGCGGGGCAGTACGGCAGCTGGGACAGCCTGGGCACAGGTCCAAAGCAAGAGGAGGGGGCAACGG